TTGTTGTGTGGTGTGGTGGGTNGGGGGGGGGGGGGGGGCTCTACCAGCAGTGCTTCTCTTCACCCAGAACCCACATTCAATCCTTTACCCTGGTTACCGTACAAAAACACAGCACAAATAATAACAATCATTAGACACAGCAACAATGAATATAAATGGTCCATATCGTAGGGAACCTTCCTGTCAGTTCGTTTTCTATGTATGTGCATGCGTATTTGTTTTTGTCACATCAGTTTTTGTTCTCCTTCGATTTCCGCTTGCTTTTCATCCTTGTATTTGCATTCCTTTTCCTTCCTCTACCTTACTTCATTCTTTTGTATGTGTGAGTGAATCCAACGCCTCCCTCCAACGGCGTCTTGTTGTTGTTGTTTTGTGTTGTTGTCGCAGACGCCCCCCCCCCCTCCCCTTCGCGTCAAGGCTCCCTCGACGGCTCCATTGGAGTTCCTTTGGGTGGCACTGGCTTTTGTTGCCCTCCCATGACTCCTTTGAATTCCATGAGAGCCTGCAGTTGCAGTGGCCTGTTTCCACCCCGCATCAGCGCGCGAAGAACGTCGAGAAGTTCACGTGCCGCTGGCGCCAGCGATGCACGGACGGTGCAAGAAAGAAACGCGTCCATTGCGCTTGGATGGCCGCCTGCAGTATAAGAGTCTTCTAGGGCTGCAAGGAGCCAGGAAAGCTCCGTCGCGGTAAAACACTCCATATTCGCCAGAGTGAGGAGGCTAAAATAAACGGTCTCGTACTCGCTTCCACCTGACGCTAAGGCAGACTTCATTGCCAAAGCATGGAACTCCTTTGAGCGTGCGTTCATTTCGCCTTGCGGATGCGACACATCCTGTAAATCCTTCTCCTCCACCGCAACATTTACTGCCTCCAGCAGTGAAGCTAACACTGTGGGCCACCTTACATGCATGTAATCATCAAGTGCCGTGGGCTCCGAAAGTAAAAATGTAATAGAACTGCTGCAGCGCTTTGCGCGGTCTGTTTGCGACAAATGTTGTAGCACAAAATTCACCACTTCACTCAACGTGACACTCCACAACACCGCAGTTTTTTTGTTGTACGAAATGAGCTCTTGAATTGCGACAATGGCGGCAGGACATGCCTGAAGCATGGAAAGAGAGCCATCCTGGCTTGTTGCAAGAAGAGCGTGCCGGAGTTCCTCTACAGACTGTAACGGAGACCCGGAAAGGAAGGCCACAACCAGTGCCGGAAAATACCTACAGAAGAGCCACTGTACTTTGAGTCTCAAAAAACTTGTCTCGCTAGTAGCGGTTTCCATCGCACGTTGCGCGGACGTTATGTGAACAGTGGAGATTAACATCAAGACGAGCACAACACCGAGAAAGGGCTCGGCCACCTCCGATTTAAGCAGACGCTCACGTAGCTTGGTTAAAAATTGAACACAAGCAGAGTAACTGAGACCAGAGGATGCGTCAAGAAAACGAAGAAATTGTAACCGTGTAAAGAGGAAAAAAATATCAAGAACGTAGTTCACAGCCTTCAATACATCCTCATGTGAAACTGCACTGGAGCGTTTGGCGTGAAGAGCCAGCTGCTTGCGAATGGAATAAGGAACTAGAGGCCGAACCTTTGCAAGATATAATTCCCGAAGAAAATCACGTTGTCGCTGCAATTCTTCAGTAGTCCTTGCAAAACCTGACTCTTTGAGAGAGTTTCTCGACGGCGTAGAAGCAGCGGATAGCGACTGATTGGTGGGATTGAGTGTTCCAAGCTCCACCTCCTGTACAACCTCGTGCGCCATGCGAAAGTAGGCGGTTGAATACGACAACCAGAAGGCTCTGTGCTCACCAGAGACAGAAGCTGAGGAGATGCTCAGTTCATTGGTTTCATGCGCGCCAAAAAAGCCAAGGCGCAATAGGCGTTCAAATTCCATCTGCTTACATCGAGTGGATTCAGAGTGCTCATAAAACGCTGCACGACAGTCCACTAAGGGGCGTGTAACTGGTATGAAGTGGCACGCCTCTACATTGTCGTCGGAGAGAAAACAAGATGTTGTATCAATAGTGTTTGCGGTATTGTGCTGAGGCGAGGAAGCCGTAGCTGGTACAGAACTACCCTTCAAGGACGAAGAACGACTATCCCTCTCCCTGAATGTGTTGAGTCTTCCACCCGTTGGGTGAAACTCCCCGGCGTTGGGGTTCAAAGCCCTTTTCATACGGCCTCTTCATTCACGGTTTTGTTTGTACGCGTGTGTGCGTGTAGTGTAGAGGCGTTACAGAGAAACACCACAGCAACAAACAAAAGTGATACTCAACACAACTCATATGGGTAATCAAGGACGCAGTGAGAGAATATGTTTGCATTGGTTCAATTTTATTTCGGTCGCACATCACCCCAACTGGCATGTGTGCGCCACTTAAAACGAACGGGAGTATACGATACGGAAAGGTGGACTGTAACAAAGGAAACAAAGTAACAAAAAATAATAGATAAATGGCACCTTAAATAAAAAAAAAAACCGCCTGTAAAGCCCCAGAGAGACCTAATTTTTGGGGTTCTTTTTTTTTTTTTAGTGGGTAGAGAAGTGCCGCGGTGTTGTTGCTGTCATTGAGCGATTTGTTGGTACGCTCCTTCTGTACAAGGAGCCGTATTGAAGTCTGTTTTTGCTCGGCGGCGGCAGCCTCTTGCTGCAAACGGAGCGTTTGCTTCTGCTCCTGTAAAAAAGATTGAATACGTGTCGTGTTATTAACGAGCACGCCATGCTCCATTGTGAGTAGGAGTTTTTTTTTTCTTTCAAGCATGTTAATATCCCTCATGAAGCCACTGAGGTCACCATACAAGTCCTCCATCGTCTGCTCCTCCTCCCTCAACTCCTGAGTTAGCCCCCGCAGCAGACTGCGGAGTGCCACGTTTTCAGCCCATACATACTGAAGTTCAGAGTCTTTGCTGTGAAGGTCGTGGACCAACGCCGACGTCTGGTCGAGAACATCACCACATCTGCATTTTCCTCCTCCTCTTCTTTTCTCGTTGGCCATCCTTGCCAACGCGTCGTTCATCCGCGTTAACTCCTTCTGCGGTATATCTCCTTCTCCGCCTGTAAGGCGGTCACAATCACAGCCCGCGCAGACTCCTCTAATTTCCTCCGTCGCAGCGCCTCCAACACGCACAAACTCTCCTTAGCGTGTTATCTGTACTCACGCTGGAGTTTAGTCAGTTCCTCCTTCTGCCCACGCTGCTCCTCCGTCTGGGGCCCTACAAGCTCATTCCACCTGCACTCTTCCTGGCGGATGCGAGCCACAAGATCATTTTCCTCATGAAGGAAGGCCTGGTGCCGTGCCCGCACGGCCTCCAACTCCTGCAGCACCTCACGTCGGTGCTCTTCTACCCTCTCCTCCGATGCCAGGTGATATCCATCTTCCCCAGAGATGGCTCCCGACCACGCCTCATCCATCAAGGTGCTTCGCTGCATTTGGGTTGTCAAAGTTGGAATATCATCCAACTTTTTTTCCCGGGGTCTTCCTAACAGACGCCAACGAACTCGATATCATTTTTTATGCAAGGTTAATAACCTCATCATATGTCAAACGCAAAGAAACCAAACTTTCGCGTACAGACACCTTAGCAGCACTGGCTGAGTAATTGCACGTTGTCGCAAAAAGCTCCTCCACTGACAAGAGAGAATGACACATATTATTTCCATCAGTCTCAGCAAAATGATGAAGAATCATGGAATTCAACGCCTGACTGAATCGCCGCGGTTCTGCCGTAATGGGAATATGGAATATCCTGACATATAAAACGCAATCATATCCAGCTTTTTCTTGCAATGTGTAACTAAGCAAAAGAATCCATGTCGGATCGTCCACGACGGTAAAGACTCCTAGCAAAGACCCCAAGGCAGGACCAAACGTGTAATTAGCGATAAACGGAATCAAGGTGATGTCCCCTAAATGATTTTTCATGTTTCTTGCCTCATGCAGCTTGACCTCACATTTCTCAGTAGCATCGCAGTGCAATGCAGATTCACTGAGCACGAGACTTTCCGTCAGGCGCCCGTTCAAAACTCCTCCGCAACCCACAAGAATGAAAGCAGGTCTCGCCATGAACCTCACATCGAAATATGATCCATTCGCAAGGCATTTTCCGGTTTCAGTGTATCCATCCCCTGGCAATGCCGCATACACGCGGGGAAGCGTCCGAGACCCCGCAGAAGGCACCAAAAAGGGAACATAGCTGCCAACTGCGAAGGGACGTGACTAAAATTCAAGTACGGCAGCCCAACCTCTTCATCAAGCACCTCGTTCATTGAACCCCTGCTTCGTTTCTTGGCTCATCACACCAAATAGAACCAGAAGTACAAAGGCAGCAAAAAACACACGGTATGGACTCGTCATAAAGGGAGAAAAAAGAAAAAAACAAGAGACAAGGAAACACAATAAATAAAAAGGGGTACAAACAAATGACAAATTCAACACACAGGCAGGCTCGCTCTCTCTTTCTCGCACCCACAAACCACCAAACACCAAAGACAAGGCACGACAGAAATCAATCTGGTTTAACAACAACAAAAAAAAAAACATCAACAATAAAAAGGAATAAATGTGAAGAATCGTATTTCAGCACCAACGCAAACACAATGCTACCAGGCAAAAATGGAGCCCCCATGCTTGGCCCTAAACACCATTCTTATTCTTCTTGAAGCCGCTCAACAAGAAAAACCGTACTGTTTGCTCGACCTCCCTCTACCACCTTCTCAATGTAAAAGTATTGTGGATACCCAAGCAAGGCATTGTAGATATTTCCAAAGTGCGTTTTTAACGTCCTTTTAGCGGCGTAGGGGAGCATACGGCTCAGATACCCTACCAACACACCTTCATCCGGTATCACCTCACGCAACGCCTCAATAGCGTCCTCCACTGGGATAGTTTCCTCGTCCATCCGTGCCGAATCAGGTACAGCCAATTGACTCTTTTGTAGCATCATGCGGTTGCCATCCGTCCACACCGTCAAATGCTTACTCGTCTTAAAGTTGTTTTTGTGTCGTAAAGAAAGTGCCGCCTTCAAAATGGGTGGTAAACGCGTCAGTAACTGATGGTGTGAGACAGGGTGGTCAGGCATAAAAAAAGAAACCTCCTCACATAGTATCTCATGATGTAGCAACGGGTTCAACGGGTCAAGAAGCAGCAACTGTCGACGATCCGTTGGAATTTGGCTGGCACCAAGAATACGCTCAAACTTATCTCGTTCCGAATCCGCTATCAGCGACGCCTTTGATTTTTCATCATCATCAAATGTTTGTGGAAGAAGCACACGATCCTCACTGTGGAACACCGTCTGTGTTGGAACAAACGGTGGAATCTGCCCCTCCGGATCATGAGCAATAACATGCAAAAAGTCCATACTTAGCTCAAAGATCTCCCCATGAAGCCGCATAAAGTGCACAAGCCCTTTCAAAGGCCTTAACAAACGTTTTTGCTCTCTACTGAGAGAAGCGTAAATGCGCTGAATCGGCACCCATCGCCATGGACCAGAATTACCTCCTCTAGAAAAGATAGCTCCAGCAGACGCGTTCGTCCCCAACTGCAGCTTCAGCCGCTTTGCTTCCTGCAAGGATGGAGGTGGATTAAGAAACGAAGCAATGTGCCGCAATAACTCCGGCTCAGGAGAATTGGTGGCATTGTAATCACTCAGACTTCGTGGTGCAATTCGTTTTGGAAGACGTCGTACATAAATAATTTCATACCGAGAGGGAATATACGGGCCGTCACTTTCTTCATCGATGGCTAATGTAACCGGGCTCGGTGTATCCTTCTTAACGGCATCTCTCCCAGGCTCCCCTAACACTGTCCGCTCTTCATCATCATCACCATCATCCGCTTTCGCCTCAACTTCTTTCTCTGTAAAGAGATCACCCTCCTTCTCACCCTCCGCGACATGAATCTTATCTCCAGCAGCATCCAACGTGTCACTCAGCTCCGTATCTGCTCCTTCTCGTGGCGGCGTTGACACGAACTCCGCGCTGCCGCTGAGAATGTCATCCATACCAAGCAAGTCATCCCTTACTGCCGCAGCTATATCCGCCTCCCGTCGTTGTCTTTCGGCGCCCGACATGTGAGAAGTGTCTGTCACAGCGTTTTGTGCACCTTCCTGCCCCTCCATCAAAGTATGCGTGTGAGGAGTATCCTGTGAGTCACACAGAAACTCCGAATTTGAAGGTAATGCAACATTATCCTTAGTTTCACCACCCTGGGGAATGCGCCGTTTGTAGCTTGAGTTCCTTAACACCTCTAGATCCTGGTGCGCTGCAAACAAGTTTGAATCCTCGCCTCGACAAATCAATTGAAAGATATGTGAATAACGCGTCAGTAATGTTAACACGCGCTGTTGTGGGACACTATTCAATACATCCAAATCCTCCTGCGAAAAGCTATCAATCCACTCTACTAATGGAAATGGCTCACAACGCTTCTCCTCAAGTTCCTGTCTTGAAAGTGATGCTTCCGTCGGAAACCGAGGCAAATTTCTCACGAGAATCTCAAAAATTTTAACGTCAACATGAGACTCCACACGACGACCCTGTGCACCTGTTTCAGCAGAAGAGGAGGGCAGTGGTCGAGAGATAACCCCGCCTACCGTCGCCCGGTACTCCTGATTGTAGCGACGCAGCAAGCGATCTGCTACTCCACACCCAGGATAATCCCGAATAAAGCTGAAATCCAAGTTGAGTTTTACCGCAGCTTTCTGAGCCCTGCCCTGCTTAAGCTTAAAAATCATGGGATACCTCTTAAAGAAACCATCTACGACACGATCCTTCGGGATTAGACGTTCAAGGCGCTGAGCCACGTCTGGAGACATCGCCACAAGAACATGGCGGGTTTCCACAAAAAAAGTGGGTGTGATGTGCACAAATGCGGCAGCCACCTCAGAGGGTGGGAAAAGTCCCTTCGAGACATAAAGTTTTTCGAGCTCTGCTAAATCGGGTGACAAACATTGCGGTTTTTCTCCATATGGAAAAAAAGTTACTGGCTCCCTGTCCAAAAGGAAATGCAAGGTGAGAGGGAGAACAAGGCGATTGAGTTTCCACGCCTCGAGCTCTGTTGAGGCGACTGGTGGCTTTGAGACATCTACTGGAGTTGAAATAAAGCATCCCCGAACCAATACAAAACGCTTTGTGAGAAAACCCGTTTGCTTCCCAAGAGGGGAAGTTTCCGTGACGCCCCCTACAACGGCGATGTTCGGGGGACGAGGTTCATGGTGTGGCTGGCCAGCAACGTTGCTTTCGTTAATTCCCTCTGTACCTTGGTGACTCGGGAGGTAGGACCAAGCCTCTTCCGTGAGTCTCACCTGGGAGCCATCGTCACTAAGAGCAAACCAGTTTGGCTTGCTCTTCAGCGCCCTAGCGAGCGCCCCAAATGAGGAATTCTGCAACTGCAACCTCAGCATTGGCCCAAGTGCACGAAAAAGTGTATGAACCGGCAAGAAGTTGTTGTTTCCCGTCTGCATAGGCCCTTTACCTGGCGAAAGCTCCGCATGCAAGACGCCTCTGATGTCTTCCAGAATACTGGTGTCGTCCCAGTCGATATCTCCACCCATTGTTGGCATGCTTGCCGAAGCTATTGCTGCATCCGCATCTTTTGATGATTCGAGCTGATTCACTTCACCCCTTGTAGTGCATCTGCGCCTTGCAATGTGCCATGTTGAATAGAAACACTGAGCTAAGACCACAGGCATCACACCAATCCTGCTTCGAACAAAAAAAGAAGCACAATGGCGAGAAAATACGCCAATCACCCGACTTCTCTGCATTCCCTCTATTCCTTACTCCCACACCGCACACGCACCTTCGGTCCCTCCCCGACTCACTCTTCCACTCCCTCTCTTTTTGTAGAAATAGAAGAGTTAAAAAGTGAAAAAAAAACCTTAAAAACGATGAAGATGGAAGTAGAAAGCGAAAAACGAAAACGCTTGTTAAAAGACATGATCATCGTAACTCACGTTTCTCTCTCACAACTGAGATGCTCGAGCCTAAACTTCTCTCCGGAAGCCACTTCAACACAGAAGAACAAAACATTTACTTCCTGCCTTGTGTTCCTTCCCTATGTTCACTGCAGGCGTACCTGCACCCCCACCCCAAAAACGTCCCTGAAAAAGCCAAACCCAATCAAACGCAAACAAATAATAATAATAATAATAATAAAACAGAAACGGAGGAGTCAGACTTCTCCAACTAACTTCCCCAACGGCCTATCCATGTGACGAAAAGGTTAAAGGTCCCATCTGCAAAGGCGGAATACGACGCAAAGGGAGGTGGGTGACTCACTCGGACTCACTCTGTCGTTCGATCCACCAATCCTGAAGTAGTCGAGAAATAAGTTGGTTTTCCGAAAACGATTGCTCCGTCGTCGGTGCCTCATCAGAATCAACGGTGGCTACAATTTGTGCAGGTGGGTCATGAACTGCCGCAAAAAAGGCAAAGACGTCACCAGCATAACTTTGAAGCAAAACAACAAGAATACGCTCAAACAGGTCACGACAGTCGTCAATCAAAACACACGAGGCAGCTGCATTGTCGCCACAGTGTGTTGGCTCCAGTACACGCCAAAGTACTCGGTTACCATCCGTGTTCAATTGTGACAAAGGAGTACCCTCGTCGGTCTCGTATACAACACCGCGAGGGTGAATAGGAACAAGTGACATCCGTGTTGGGTCAAATTGGCCCCGTGGAAGCGGACTGAAAAAGCTCAGAAAACAAAATAAAAGATGCCCTGGCTCAACCTCCTCGCGTTGATGTGGATAATACGTGAAACTGGGCAACGGAGACGCGTAAGAGCAAAATCTGGCGAAGGCAAGCACCATTAAAGTTAAGACGTACGAATTGAGTTGTGAAGATTGAACTTTAAATTGTTTCAAAACCACCTTCATAAAAATGATAACAGGGTATACCGATTTGTTGGCTTTCAGTAATCGTGGAAGCACTGCGGCAACCTCAAACGCCTCTGTTCGGTTAACTGTGATATTCAGGCCAATGCCGTCTGGTACAGAATGCAAACGAACTGTGTCTGGGCCATTGTTGCAAGATGCAACATTCTGCTTTTCTTGCAGCTCCAGTTGATCCAGAACCACATCTCTGATACTAATAAGTAGGTCGTGTTCACCCATCAATGGCAGCGCCAAATAAAAACAAGCAGGGTACGGCAGGAGGATATGGGCCTCTGTATTAGCTATCTGAGCTCGCATCAGCCCATCAATCGGAGTTGAGTTCTGCGCATCTTCATCGTCAAGTTGCCTTCGCAAAAAGTAATCCGGAGACGAATCCACGCGTTGTAAGAGTGTAATTTCAACATCCGAGTCATAAAGAGCCGTGTCGAAAGCAAGACTGCCACATTTAAAGATGTGCAGGCCACTACGCTCACCACTGGCTGTCACACGATCTTCAGGAGCAGTCGCCACTTCTGTGATAACTCTCTTCACTTCTTCAAATAATCTGTCACACGCCCTATGACGAGCGGGTGACATCTTCGCTTTGAGTAAAAGATCCTGAAGATCACGTGTGAGATGAACGTTTGCCGCCAACAGCAGTAGATATCCGTCGTCTACAATCTCGCCATAACCGCTTGCACGCAAAAAGTATAATATGCAGCTCATTTCCTCGAGGTTTCCTCTCATTTCCGTCAAATAGGCAAGATTTCCCCGACACACTGCAACGGCCGTAGCTACAGGGACTGCAAACGATGGTAGTAGCGCCGATAAGCAGTCAGTGTGATAAATATATATATATATATATATTGCCAAAAACAAAGTGGAGGAAAACAACACAACGCACGCACAAAATGATAAGAACCAAATCCGCTTTCAAGAGGCACCTGTGAAGCTACTGCTTTCTTGTTTGTTACTCTGTCTTTCAAAGTTGCGTAAACCAACCGCAGCAACAGCCACGAGAAGAACCCCCAAAACGAGCGGAGAGAGAACCACGTTGTCGGGATGGATAGAGGTGCACCATGACACCCGAGACACAGACAGACAGGACCTACCATAACATCGCAAGCAATCCGTACTACTGTTACCGCAATGGCGGCAGTTAAAAAAAAAAAAAACGGTTCAACGTGGTGAAAGAAGTGCTTTTTTTTTACCCCCAATTCCACACCTCCTTTTTCTCCCAAGTTTCTTTTGATGTTTTTGTTGTTGTTGGCTTTCCTCCTTATTCGTTATTGGTTTTTTTTTCTCCCTGTCGTTTGAACGGTTTACTTTTCTCCAGAATGTAGTGTACGTGGTGATGCATGCCCGTACTGCCGCCGAGACGGTGGTGCACCAGTCGCAGCTTGACATAAATACTGCGTAATGGTGCAATATGCATGAGCAGCATCACCGTCACCAACGGAAGCTGTTCCATGTATGAATACATCTCCAAGCAGATATATACGGGTTGGCTAGCACCCCATGGTGAAAGCCACATCTTTTTTTCATTAGAATAACCACATAAAACCGACATGGAAAAATAAGGAATAATATAATTGTTTAACCAACGGTCATCAGTCGATTAAACAAGTTTACGGGAAAGACATATATATATATATATAAATATAAATATAAATATATAAATATAAATATAAATATATAAATATAAATATATATATATACATTTTACAAACAAATAACAAATGAATGCACATATCCCTGCAGAGCATTCTTTCAATTCATTATTATATTTTTCCTTCTTTATTTACCTCTGCTGCTATTGTCGTGGGGTGTGCAATGTGTGTGTGTGTGTGTGTGTGTGTCTGTGTGTCTTCAGACACCACACGTTTAGTCCAACCCGTAGATCTTTGAGGAAAGGTCCGCGTCCCGAAACGTGCAGAATGTTAGTTTTTCTCCAATTTGAAGTCCAACATAAAAAAACCATGACGTAAACCGCAGCCACCAGGAGCGGCGCTGATACTCGTCATATTTTAACTCTATGCTGACCTGCATGTCGTCGAGGAAGTGACCCTCCATCTCTCGTGCCATCGCATAGCTCAGATGACAAAGACAAACTTCCATGTTTTTGTTGCTCATCATATCCCAATTGTAACTTCCCACAGAGCACCAAATGCTGTCAACCACCACCGTTTTGGCGTGCATGACCTGATTACCCTTGTACTCGTAGACACGAACACCAGCAGCTAGAAGATGCTCGGTAATGTAATTCGATGCATACCACATAAACCAAGGATCTGTTGTACGACTACTTCCAGAGAGAATGCGCACATCAACGCCGCGACGAGCAGCGCAGAGGATGGAACGTAACAGTTTTCGATGAGGCAAATAATACGGTGTTGTCACCCACAATCGTCTGTGTGCGTTTTGAGCAACCTGCCAAAAGGCATACGGAATCGACCAATCCCGTGTATGAGGGTTGCAAGATATGATTTGAGTAGAGTTGGGACGTAGCTTGTCATACGCCTCTGCTCCAGGAACAGGATCCGTATCCTTTAAAGGGGTTATAGGCAATGGCTTTGCATGTAAACGCCTTTCCAAGGCCGCCTTGGCTTTATTAATCGCACGTACACGATACTGTTCCATTCGTTGCTTCATCGCCGTTGATGCACCTTTGTCTTCTGCGGACTCCCTCGACTGTCTTGGCGCATCGTCACAGTCAACAGGAGTCAAATTTTGTGGGATGGACTTTGTGACATCTTTTGAATACCACCGCATATACGACTCTAATCCTTCGCGCTGCCGCTTCCATCGAATACGTTTCATAAAGCGTGCTTTCTTTTCCTCGGCCTTTACGAGTTGGCGTTGCAGGTAAACCTTCCCCCTTTGCTGCACAGATTTTGTCATAGGTACAAGAATGTCATCCGCAACATTTCTTCCCTCCTTGTAGTGACGATCCATTGCCGTGGATGCAATTTTGCGCCAACGGGTCCAACTCCATTTCCACGGTTTTGGCGCCTTTGTATCTTCGTACACCTCGCGGAGATGGGCCACAGCCGGGCCCACCACGGAGCAGTGTGTGTCACGAAAGCGTCCCGTTCCTCCTTGACTCTTACCACAGTATTCATTACCAATATTCAGCCCACCACAAAATCCAATTTTCTCATCCACGATAAGAATCTTCCGGTGGTTGCGGATGGCAGGGCTGCGTTCCCACTTCATGCCTCCAAACAAATACGGCAAAATGTGGTCAAAAATAGGCCGATGCTCAATAACAGTGGCCCCAGACAGTTTGAGGTTCCCAATAAGGCGGCTTCGCCCAGTGATGTTACCGCCACAATCGTAGAGCAATTCGGTAGTACACCCACGCCGATGTGCAGCCTCCATCTTTTCTACTGTCACTCGGCCAATGCGATCATCCTTGCAGATGTACGTTTGCCAAAACACACTTTTTTTGGCTTCATCCACAGCCTTCCACATAACTCGAAAGGCCTCACCATTATCACGATAAGGAACCACGGTGTTGCCCGTAGACACACGCCCTAAAACATTCAGGTTTCGCTGAATGCGGTCCCACTGCACATGAAATGGTAACCTATTGCAATAGGCTCCTCGAACACCATCCCCTAGAGCCAAATACACGCCTTTGAACCTTTCACTGGCCCCAGCTGACTTGATACCAACACAGGTATTAATAATAGCTTCGCCTGTGGCACTGCCTGCGTTATTACGCAGAGACGAGTGGAGTATTCTTTCAAGGTTTAAGCGCTGGAATGTAACACGAAACTTACCTCCAGGTGTTGACATCTTCTAAGAGTACTGGACAGAGACCGAGCGAAACTAAAAAAAACAACAACAACAACGGCAACCTGTCCAAATATTCCCCCTACCCTCGAACCTTCTCTATCTATCTCTCTGTGAATATATATATATATATATATATATATGCGCCTATGCCAGCAACTTAACGAATAAAAAACAACAATGAAAGGGAAAAACGGCCACAACAGGTCTCTTTCCTCTTTATCCTCTTAACTAGAAGTTCCTCTGTGCTTTGCTCCTCCTGTTGTTGTTACTGACCTTCTTGTAGTTAAATATGCGATTAAATCAGCGTTCTTCGCCCTGCTGCACTTCTGTACGCACTTGGAAGCACCTGCTTGACCCACGCAACTCACGCATTGGAAAGACACAACAAGAACAATAAAGAAAAAAAAAACGCAAGATAGTGAGAGAGGGGGAACATGGTAAAGAAACCAGCTCCTGTTGTTGCTGCCTCACAGCATACTGTGGGTAAAGAAAAGACACGCAGCGAAGGTTGTTCTCCTTTTGTCTTGCAGTTATTTGCATTTCTCAACACAGCCACCCCCCTCTTGTCTTCTCGAGGGGTTAATGTTTCTTCTAGTCCGAACAACAACAACAACAACAAAAAACGCGGAAGCAGCGCTATACATCGCGGTACTGTTTGGCTCGATTGACACGTTTCAACAAGGCACCGCCCTCAGACTCCAATCCAAAATGAGACGCTTCTGCCACTCCACCTCTTCGTTGCGCTTCCGCTCAAGAACCATCCGTTCCTCTTCAGTCTGGGTAGGAGGAAACTTCAGTGGCCACCAGTTGGGGAAGTTTACCCAATCCACAACTTCAGGAACCACGTTGTGAATTATTCCTTTTGCGTCCAATCCCACTTCTTCTTTACCCAACGATAAGACAACAGCCTGCCGTTGCAGCAGGTCCTTCTCCTCTAACGACCTGTTATCATAAAGGTAGGCCCTATACATGGGTTGCAGCTCCGGTGACACCGTGAGGATGGGCACTTGTCGCAGTTGCTGCTGAGACAAAATCTTTAAACGATGCTTGTGGTAGTACGTCATAGCATAATACCCAGCGGTGTAAACAACACCAATGAAGGAGCCTGCAAACATGCCTTGAGTAATGGTTCCCATCTAGGATGGCCAGTGCCAACGCAACAGCACCCGGCACCCCCGCCAACATTGGGCAAAACAACCGATCATGATAATTATTACGTACCACAAGTAAGTGATGAAACACAGTGGCCAAAAGCCCTACAACAGCAAAGCTAGAACTGTAGCGCCATAGCACTTTATATCGACCAATATACCGTCCCTCTGTGCGTGCTTGACGAAAACCAAATGCACAGCCTAACACGGCACTATAACATGTTACTAGAAATACACTTTGGATTTAACCCCTACGCCAGCGTCACTCCAAGTAATGGCTTACTTCGGTTTCGTACTGGTGTGGAGGAAGCTCATCTTTGATGGCGTCGTAGATAGTTTCCTCCGTGCTGGTCACCTGAAAGCGATTATCATTGCCTGTACGGAAAGGCCACAATGATATCCACCCCACTACCAATATATATATCAGATGTCACCAAAAATACTGCAGCAGCTTCCGCCAATTTCCCCTCTCGCTATGTCGAGCAATGTATCCCCTTAAAACGTTTGGCATCCTCCTCCAATTCTGCAGTCGGCCCGGGTCCCCTTCTTCAGAGGACCTCACCTGCAGAGTGAAGCAGCGGTCCCCTTTCCTTTCCGCGTTGGTTGCCTCCCCTCCCCGCACCTCCAAAAAAAAAAAAAAATGTTTTTGACGTTGTGCAGAATAACAAAGTGGAGAGATAAAAAGAGAAAAACCATCAAAAGGCACCAAAAAAAAAACATCAATAAATAAATATCTCATCAAAAGAAAACCCTTCGAATCATTTGACACATGAAAGAGTCATCCGGACAACCACGCACACGCACATATACACACACCGTGAGTGAGAATAGGCGCGCAGCAACCACAGAAGAAGCTACCAATTCCGACACAATGTGAGGAAAAAGAGAGCACAACACAAAAAAAAAAACATGCACAAACAACAACAACAACAATAGGGACAGAGTTTGGTGTGGACAAGACACAGGTATCACACACTAGCCTCACCGTATAGCCCAGAATAAAGGACTACATTGGGGCGTTAACCCCCAATGCATTTCCCTTTCTTATTGTCCCCTTTCTCGCCTCGGCACTCCATTCTGTAAGTTTCGCCATGCCTCCTCACTCTCCTTTCGTCCAGGCGGCAATTGAAAACCCACCCCAGCTCCCATGCCAGCACGCAGTGCCACTACCATGTGAAGTGTTGCGCCAGCTGCGATGGGGTAGTCGTTGATGCGCTTTTCATCCTCCAACTGCTTTCCTTGGTGTACAAGCCTGATCATCTTTCCTGGTATCCCCTCTGATTCCTCCAACTTCTCCTTGAGCTCCGCGATGGTGTTGTCCTCATTGAGAGAAACAACCTCAATCACCTTGTTACTTACAGTCTTCACCTTAATAAGCATGAATTTTTGTTGAGAAATGCCTTATTCCTCTTCCTTCTGACTCCTTCCTTCTTTGGTTTCCCGTGTCGCGTGTTTGTACCTTCTCTCTGTTAGCTGGGCCTCACGCTTGAAGCGCCCCTCTTCAATTGCACCACTCCGCTTATATAAGAAGCGTTAACCTGCCGGTGAAATTTGTAGCAAAAAAGGTCAAAGAAAAGAAAGCAACGAAAGAAACAACACAAAACTCAACTCATTAAGCTTGTCTGTTGTCGTAAAGAAATATATATATAAGGTACCAAAATGTCTACAATGGAAAGTCGGACAGCATCTGGTTTCTTCATTAGAGGTAACGGGCCTAGCTCAGCCGACACACATGCAAGTGTGCAGATTCACAGATGCAGAAAAAAAAATAAAATTGGGCTGCAATAATTGTTCCTCTGTAGCTCCCTCCCGCATCTGACCCCCGTCAGCGCCTTTTTTTTTTTTCACCCCCACTTCATTTCTCTTGCCTTTGCACTTCTATTGGTTTCCGTACAATCGCGTCACTTCGATTTTTTTTTTTTCGTTTCTCATGTAAGTCTCTTTGCCTTCTTTTATTCCATAACTTTTCGTTCCTTTCGTGTTCCTTTCGTGTTCCTCTCCTGTTTTTCTCTTTTCTCCTCGGCTGTCGTGGTGTTTGTTCTCTGCCTCGCGGGGCTTATTTATATCTTTGCACAGGGGGAGGGGGGGTTGGGAAACTCTCCTCTTACCAGCACAGGCATGCTTGCATCTTTCTGCTTTAGTTTTGCGTGCTCCTCCACTTTCCTTCCACGCCTGCCGTGCTACACTTCCTCTTCTTATTCACCACGCTCCTCCAATCTTTCTCGGTGGCCCGTAACATTGACCGCCCACAACGGGGCAGAAACTCTTGTGGTGCATCCCAATAAAAAAAAAAACACCCCAGCAACCCTTGCCCAGTGTAAAACGTGTTACGTGCCCCGCAGAATCAAAGGAAGCATAAAACAAACGCAGAACAAAACGAAGGGAAATAAACGGCGTAGCGAAAGCACGCAATAACACAAAAACAGGGGAAAACAAAGCAAAAAAAAAAGATATCTCCAACTCTTATGTGCAAGCGACAGGAAAAACAGAAACAGTAACGACAGTTAGCGCTTCTTCTTCCCTATTTCTGCCTCTTTGTACGCCATTGAATAGCGATGCGACAGCCGCCCGCTGCCCGCAACGAAGAGCAGGGCACCAATAATGGACACGTTCTTCATCAATTGGAAGAGGTCACTGTCGGTTATCTTCATTGGGTCGTCAAGGTTCACGTGAAAGGCAACCGTAAGGACAAAAGTGCTTATCACCAACAAGAGAGCGAAGAAGCACCGGCCCACCCCCAGCAAAATGAAGAGAGAGAAGGCGAGCAAAAGAGCACCAAACGCCTGAGTTAAAACCGCGTAGTCAGAGGCGCTAAGTCGGTACTCAACGCCGGCCATTTTCAACATTTTGGGGAAATTGCTCTTCGCCAGCAACACGGCAGATACCGCTGGATTGGAGATCAGTTGAAAGCCTGCTGCAATGAAGGGAATGAGAATTAGAATCAGCCCAAAGTAACGTATCGCGGAGCGGAAAGACATTGAACCGTACTTGAAGGATTCTATTGTCAATCGTGCAGTGGTGATATTTTCTTTCGACTGTCTTATTTATATATTCTCCTGAAGAGGTGTTTGATTTAATTTCCTTGTTCGCGTGAATTGCTTAATTGTTTTACCTCTTCTCCAAGACGTGGCAGCTCAGGCGTAAAAAAAAAAAAGAAAGAGAGAGAGAGAAAGAGAAAGGGGGAGCGAGAGAGCGAGAGAGTGTATGCGTAGAGAGTGAATGAAACAGGGGGTAACATCGGTCAGAAGGGGAGGGAAGAAAAGGGTTAATGGAGGCAGCAGGAAAAAATGCAGTACAGAGAAACCTACGCACCTGTCTGAAGCAGCCTATCCACCCACGCCGGGACAATCTCGGAGGCCTTACCATATATCGATTCATCGAAGTCACTGAAGTTCTCTCCCGGAGCCAAATTCAACTCAAGCGTTTTTGCCCCGTTCTCTTTTGAGTGCATCACCAAGCCTGCAGCGGGGTACACGTTACCAGATGTCCCAATAGCGACAAAGAGGTCAGTATGTTTCATCACGGTGTTTATTTCATCCAAGTGGAACGGTGTTTCACCAAACCACACAATATGCGGTCGCAACGTTTCCACTGCATTGCAGCACTTGCATCGGGTCGTTCCATGCACCACATCCTGGGTCCAATCAAACACCTCCCCAGTAGCTATGCAACTCACCTTAAGCAATTCCCCGTGCATATGCAGCACCGACGTAGATCCTGCACGCTCATGAAGATTATCAACGTTCTGCGTAACTACCACCACACGCCCTCCACGATACTCCCGTTGAAGCATGGCAATAGCCATGTGTGCTGGATTAGGTGTCACAGCGGGTGAGAGAAGAGCCCTCCGTCGTTCGTTATAGAATCGTTGCACAAGCTGCGGATTACGCATAAAGGCATAGGGGCACGCAACCTCCTCGACACGATGATTTTCCCATAGACCGTCTTTATCCCGAAACGTCGATAGTCCGGACTCTGCAGAGACGCCAGCACCGGTTAAAATCGTGATCCACTGACACCGCGGCTTCATAGCACTCCAAAACCAAAACAAAAAAAAGAGCAAATCACCTCAACTGTAAAAAAAAAAAAAACCCATATATATATAAGCGTCCAAACGCACATAAGGAAAAAAAAAAAAACAAGGAATAGAAAGAGAAAGTTGGCGCTGTTTAGTCTCACGCATAACCCCATTCATTGACCAATGAACTCCAACACGTGAATGCAATGAGCCTCCTCGCTACCTAGCTGATCTTCTTCGTTCCCTCCACACGTCTCGTACCTTTACATGATTTAAAGAGCAGCGGGAACCCGCGTCTGACGCAAACGGCCACACACCCTTACGACGAAGAAGTGCAGGTGGGCCACTATGCACAACTTGGCCTCTGTCAATGACAACCACACGATCAAAAAAATCAACGTGTGATAGCTTATGCGTGATACAAAGCAAAGTCGTGTCTTTCAGCAGCGTATCCAGCACACGCCACAGCAGTGACTCTGCCTCGGAGTTTAACTGAGAAGTCGGTTCATCCAATAAAAGAAGGCGTGGCCGTTTGAGAAGCACGCGGGCAATTGCAATTTGATACTGTTTCTCGCCACACAGAGTGCCACCATCAAACATTTCGGAATCCAGACTAAGATCGGCAAGCTTGACAGAGTCCAAAGCAGCGCGGATTTCACCGTCTGTGTACAAACCTAGTGGATCTACATTTTTGCGAAGCGTGCCATGGAAAATAAATGGATGCTGTGGAATCACACTCAGACGTGACCGAAGGAGATCCAGCGGCAATTGACAGATGTCGCAATCATCAATGGCAACATATCCCGCGCTCAAGTTCACAAGGCGAAGCAAAACAGCAAAAATAGAAGACTTGCCGGCACCGGTTCGTCCCACAATAGCCACCTTTTCCCCTGCCTCCGCATGAAACGTGAGGCACCGCAGCACCTGAGGGCCAGCCTCGTCGTATTGCATGGAGACACCTACAACGTCAACCTTGCCCAGAGACGGCCATAATGCAATAGTAGGCAACGGCACACTCCCATCCTTGGCGTCTTCGCGTGCCAAATAAAAGTACTGCCGAACTCTTTCAACGCTGATAAATTCCTTCTCTGTAGCAGTAAACGCACCAAGAAGACCGTTAACGTATGATGTTAGTGGTTGCACGTATGCAAAGGCCAATCCCAGCATTGGGGCATGCGAGCTCCCGTGGTAATAAATCCCAAGCACCCCAATAAAACTAAGCAATAAAATACCCACCAGCTCCAGACGGAGTCCAAACCACGCATTTAACATCAGTGCATTATATTCTGTGCGGAGCAAGGCCTTGGCTTGGTCCTGTACACGACACATGTATAAGTTGACGGCAGCTGATCCAAAACATCGAATCACAACTCCACCCACCAAGACGTCACGCATTGTGTCAAGCAAAGGCGCGCGCGCTGCAGCTTCCAAACGTCGTAGCTCTCGTAAAACCGTGCGGTAGGGGCGCTGGATGCGGTAATATAGCAGTGAAAAAAGGGCAAGTGTCCATAGGATTACTCCTGTGGAATTAAGCATTATTATTATTATGGAACCCAAAAAAAGAAATGTCTGCGCCAAAAGAATATTAAGAATAAATGGAAGGGAATCATCAATTGTGTAGGTATCATTGGACAATCGGTTAATAATTTCCCCAGGCGGGGTATTCGAAAAAAAGTGAAATGTGGCTGACATCACATGATGCAGAAGCTTGTTATGAAGACGCTGTGCCGCTCTTAAACCTCCATATGCAAAAGAAAATCCACGAATAATTGCCAGCAAACTATTAAGTAAAACAATTATGCTTAACATATGTATAAACGCAGCTGTATTACCATCGCCATCTTTTGACCATACCACAACATATTGATCGCTCGCGTTACGAGCAACTTGCATGGCAGCAGCGGAAATGACAATAAACAGTGTTAGTCTCCACCCTACGCAACCAAAGTAACACATCACAGTACTCCACGCGAGAACTCCATGTTTACCCACCTCCAAGGCCGTCAACGCGGGTGTCACCTCTGCCTCAACATCATTCTCCGCTTCCTTTTTCGCTTCCTCTTTTCGTTGTAGTTCCTTGTCCTTTTCCTGTGGTATTCGTGTCAGCAAGGAAATAAGTGTATCCTTCGCTTGTTCCGTGACGGCAAGACAGCCATCCGCACACGCATAGACAGCATCCGCACACTGTATAAGCTCCTCATTATGCGTCACAACAATAATACATTTCCCGTTCCTTGCCGCAGCTACAAAGACCTCTTTCACAATGTGATGAGCTACAGTGGTGTCAAGAGAACCCAGAATATCATCCACTAGGCACAAGTCTTTATTCGCGTACAAGGCGCGAGCCAATGCCACACGAACTTTTTGGCCACCACTCAGCTTTCCACCACGGTCCCCTACAAACGTAGAGTCCCCTTCTTGAGCAAAGTTGTGATGGAGATCCTCATCAAGGGCCACCGCCTTTATCACCGCCCTGTATCTCGCAGAATCAAATGCAAGGCCAAAAAGGATATTCTGACGCAATGTCCCTGCCATTAAGAAAGGTGTCTGTTCTACAAACGACATTGAACTCCGTACAATGGTAAGTGAAGAAGTTGGCGTCATGTCAAATTCTCCTGCAAGACTATTTAAAAAGGCGCTTTTACCTGTTCCAGAACGTCCCACAACAGCAATTATTTGACCACGCAATGCTTGAAACTTTGGGATATATAACTTAAACATCTGTTCCACCGCACAATTACAGTTAGCTGCAGCTAATAGCAACTTCCCTTTCTCAACGTTGACCAAGGCATCCTGGCCGTCATCTTGTCGCAACTGAGAACTCGATAACCGATGCTGTTCCATACGATCAAACTCAAACGAGAGGTGACTTGGTGCATGCAGGAAAGAGTGCCTTCCCCCTTCCATATACGGGCCCCCCATATTTTCGTCCATGCTGTTTGCATGCGTGATGTTTTCCTTTACACCACTTAACGGTGTACCATTACCAGCATTAGATAACACCCAAATGCCCCCATCGAAAAAACAGTTTTGAACCTGTGGCATGGAAAGAAACGGTTGTAAACGCCGCCACGAAACACACGCCTCAACAAAGCCGGTGATCACCCATGGATACGCGTTTAATGGAAGAACAAGGGAACCAAAAAGCGCCAGGGCGCTGACAGCTTTACCAGGCGTTAGGTCCCCACCCATCCAAATAAAGGTGATAAAAGTAACAAGTGACACAAAAGTGGGTGTGACGGCCCAGCAAAAGACACAAAAGGCATCCAAAAATTTGAGCCAACGAAGACACTTCATGTATCGCAATCGTGGAATCCCCACCCATCGTTCCGCCATCCGGGACCAGCCACACATTTTAACGTAAAGTATGTTATTCACAATTTCTGTGATTGCCAAAACACGTTCATCGTTCGCCTGCATAAGATTGGTTTGCACCTGTTTAATGCGTTTAGCAAGCTGCATATTTACAGGAATGAGTACAAGCGTCACGACCACTCCTGCAACAAATGCAAAAGAGACTTGAACATACAAGAGATAAAGCGCAAAGACTAGTTGAAGTGGAAGCGCCCAGAGATCATTTATTGACTGCACTGCGTCTGCAATACGTTGCACATCCACTGAAAGGTGATTTATTAGATCTCCCTCTCTTTGACTTCCTAACTGTTGTAGGCAAGAACTGATGGCGCGGCGAAAAAGTTCCATGGTTAATAGATTTCTGTTATAGAGAGCCATCTTTTGTAATTTAATGTTGTAGTGCACACGAAGAAAGGTGCAAGTGATCGTACAGAAAACAATAAGCAGGATAGTGATGACCGAAAACTGAATGTTTCCTCCTCCGTCTTTACCCGTCCTCTTGTTTGTGCTTGCCCGCATTAAATTGTCCACTAGTTCACGAAGAAGATAGACCGGAAAAAAACCCCAACCTCATATACGAAACGCACAACTGCGAGCAAGACGTATGTGGCTCCCCAGTGGTGCACGATGGCGCGAATAAGGGAGATGTCTCCACCAAGGCGCACGCCCATACAAAACCAAGCAGACGTGACAGAGGAATCTATGCGTATGTCATCACTAAGAGGCCGCAGAGGCAACCCAATCTGTTTCTGCTCATCCTCGTGGCCAACACCACGACTATTACTATCATCATCACCGGCAGCAGCAGCATCAATTCCGATGCTACTTCCTTTCTTTGGGGTATTCGCATACAAAACAGGGGCAATGTCATTCACCATTAGCCAATCCCACCCAACAAGAGTAGGAAAGACAAGCGTGTGAGACACCGCAATAAACGTATCCACGACAATATCTTGAAGTCGAAAATCTGTAGAGATCAGCTGCATTGCAAAAACCGTCCACTCCGTTACCGAAATAGCAAACAACAGAATAGCCAGCACGGCATCCGAAAGGTTTCTGTGACGCATGCAACGCATTAGGAGCAACAACCAACAAACGACACCTACACGCGTCAACCAAACAACCCAGTCAACTCGTGTCGGTTGGGGATCATTGAGTTGATAAAGCACTGACACAAGGATGCCTCCGGTGACAAAAGCACAGCAGTAGTACAAAATCATCGGGGTGGGTCTTAAAAGACGACGTTTGAGGCACACTGCAGACAAAACAACAAGTACTACCGCCGTCCAAATTATCACGGCGTGTATGGTGTAAATTGTCGTCGCCATTTCATCAATTTGTTTTTGGTTCATTGCTAAGCTTGTTTGTATCTTGTTCCTCCTACCTCTGCGGCCGTGTCCCGGTGAAAGAGTGTAGGAGGCTGTGCTGATCCAGCTGCATTCGATACCATCACGCCGCACAGGGGAAGACGCAGCGACAGCCCAGGTGTAAAGCAGGAGGCAAGCCCAACAAAAAAAAAAAAAAAGAGTGATAATATTGCAGGGAATAAATCCTGCGCGATGCACGACGCATAGCAATGTACATCTATAAGGGATGCGCAACGCGATCAGCACACCGTCAAACAGGGAGAAAGGGTGCCAACCAAATACACAAATAAAAAACGAAACAAAAAATATTCTTCATTTTCGTTCCTTTTCGTCAATGTTTGCTAATATATATATGCACACACTATTATTTATGTTCACAAAAAAAAAAAAACACCCACAAAAAACCAGGGATAAAAAATCGTTTGGACAGGGCGGCAAAGTAAACACAGAGGCAACAACAATAATAACCACACAGGCTGACAACAATGAGGGAGGGTGAAACAAAAAAAAAAAAGAGCGCATTGACGTTACTACAAGAACTCCAGAAGCATATACCTAATAAGCGCACCCAGCTCTTCGCCTGTTAGATCGGTCATTATGGAGACGTTCCTTCTCTCCATCCCCTGAGGATGAAGACAGTATTATCCTCAGATGAGACGGTGGTGAGAATTGGTTGCGGTGTAACTTGTTAAGAAGCTCACAGTGATTATCATAGCTTTCTCGCAGCTTCGGCTCCAGAGAGTTAATATGTGGACGCAGATCTTTGCACATGTCACACTCATGAAATGGCTGAAGCAAGTGATGTAACGCAGGTTTATTTGAAGAAGAATCATCCGTTTCAGATGCAGCAGCAAGACAAAGACATTGCTCCTCCTTGGCATAGTAGGAAGCTTCGTTATCAAATTGTTTCTCTTCATCGGCAAGAAGCATACTGTAAGCATGCTGAAGAGCCGCTTTACTCTCTGGTAATTGCACCTGTAGAGAAAGACCCTTCTAGCTGCTGTTGACTTCCAATACGGTAGAAAAAATTTGGCGGTGTGCACTCAACTTGACTCTAAACTCAGTTCTGTCTCCACCGAGTTTCAGTCGTATGACCCATATTACGAGCTCCACTCAAAAACGGTCCTCCTGTACCGTAAAGATGACGCGTCAATGCCTGGATGCAGCCAACACCACATGTTGGTGGCTGCGCCAGTGTCGATGTTCCCCGTTCTGTGCGGCTCAATCGCGACCTCACCAACACCTTCAGACTCCACTGAGGCAACACTACTTGAAGATGGAGATATCAGTTCGTCCAGATCATCATTAAAAAAAATTCCCACTGTACACTCCTTGATAAGAAATGCGTAGTACTTAACAAAAAAAAATATTACGGAATATGTGGTCCACATCCGTTTCATTGTTGTACGATGTCAAATACTTCCTCACACTACTGTACGGTTCATGAAACGATTAAAAGGTGTTTAGCCTCTTGGTCAGAAAGGCAATGCGCTGGCCACCTTCCAGAATCCCGCAGAAAAATCCAGGAAAAAGAGCGGCAAGAACCTCAAAGAGGACTTACTTATTCTATACGCAGCTCGTCCCCTGTTGTAAAGCGTTTAAATGCAACATTTTGTTCGTCCTTCGACCGCCACACACACCCACACCTTCGTCCTCGATCCTGCATACGCTTTGTATGCGCATAAACGGCTGGCATAAAACGACGGCCGATAGGAAAATAAAAAAAGGCTACGACCTGCCTTATAAAGTTGAGGACGTAATGGAAGGCAGTATCAGCAGCAGCATCAACGCTCGCAGCCACAGGTGGGTGAGGAGGTTTTCCTTCCTCTTTCACTTGTTCGCCTGACGCGTGCGGTGCTTCCGGTAGTGAGTGACCGTACATGGCAATCAATTATGCCTCCAGTTACTCTTCACGGCCGTGAAGTGCGATGGCTAAAAAAAAGATGTATTTGTCCCAGACACCAACACCTGCAGAATGCCTCAGGTTTTACCTTTTTATTTCTGTTTTTTTTTTATTATTTGCTATGCGCTTCATTTTCTACCCAGAAGGCAGCGAGGCGTGGCTGCTGCAGTAATCTTGCCGCCGCCTCCCGCCCTTCCTCACTAAGCATGCTGAGTGGCAATAAAAAGCTGCAACTACGCCCCAGCCTTTTCTTCGTGTGTCAAGGAAATCCCATCAAGGCAAACATGAAGAGGCAAACAAAAAAAAAAAAAAGAATGTCAAAGAAACAACAAAACAAAAAACAAGGGGGAGAACAGGCAGCATGAATCATAAAAGCCCTCACGGTGGAAAAAACAAAAAAAAACGTTTTGCGGCATCCACAACAAATACCAAACAACAAAAAAAGATAGGCGGATAGCTCCTGCAATAAAAACGCATTGTATGCATGTATTTTCCTCTTTGTTTCCCTTTCATTTGGGTGTTCGTTCCACCCAAATCATTCACACTGTCCGTTTATTTCTTTTTCCATGTAGAGATTGTTCTCTAAAGACAGGTTCCCATCCACTTTTTTCCTTTCTCGTCTGTCTCAGTCGTCACTTGTTCACGCTCCTTGGCTTGTTGTTTTCCTCTCACGCACCCACTGCAAATTCCCTCAACAACAGCCAAAGCGAAAGCAATAACAACCAAAAAAAAAAAAAGGCAACGCACCACCAAAAAACACACCACAGATAGAACGTAGTGTCGGGCACAGTTGTGTCAAAACAACAAGGAGAAACACCAAAAACAAACGACAGAAGTGAATCGATAAAAAAACTCACTCAAAAATGGCGCACAGAGATCATAAACAAAAACAAAAAACAAAAAAAACACACACACGTGTAGCAAGGAGCGGAAATCTCCCTCCCCCCTCCCAACCCAACCCTCTCTGAAAAAAAGGCATAAAAAAAAAAGGGACAGCTTGCCTTGTCTTCCGCGTCCCCATAGGAGGCGAAGCGCATTCATAGAGCAACCACAGGAAAAAAAAAAGACCGCAATAGCGACAACACAAAAATCGCTGCTTTTAGCAATGTTCATACCTTTGTTGTTCCTCCTTTTGCCTTCCCGCTCCTCTGGAAGGACAGAATGCAGCTGAGAGACCCATTTCCAACCACTTGTCTTATTTGTGGCGCCACGTGCCACATGCACCCATCAGAGCCGTTGGCGTTCACCACAACCCCACCCCATGAACGGTCAGTGAAGGCAATTATTTTTTCCACTCTCTTTTTCACTCGTTTTTTTTTTCTTAATGGAGATTAAGAAGCGGAGATGATTGAGTGTGTTTGAGGGAATTGAGAAATTGAAGCAACTTCACACCACACTTGACAATAATAAAAGCCAAAAAAAAAAACTAGTGGAAAATAAGTGACCATAGCCACCACTCATCTACATGTATACTATATATGTCTGGTGCTCTTTTTTTGACTGATGGTGACGGTCTCCGAAAATAGTAAATATGCGAAGATTCACTTTAGCCACGCAAGCCAAGTAACAAACCGAGAGAAAAGAATGAGAGAGAATAAATGCACAGACTTACAACTAATCAGGTTCAATAATATCATATATATATATATATTATGCGTTCTACGTATTTGTGTAAAGTTTAACTTGCACAGACCTCCTTTCCCCCCCCCCCTTTTTCCCTCGTCATTGTGTGTTTGTGTATGCGGGTATGTCTCGTGTTTTTTTTTTATTATGCCTGTATTTTATCTGCCTTAGCAAGGCACCTCAGTGTCTGTATAAATAGTAACCTGCACATGCCCTTATATGTTACTTCGGACGCTTAAATTGTATATATATATATATTTATATATATAATACGTATCCTTCAGTCTTCTTAGGCGCGTCAAGTGGCGTGAGCCAAAGATTCCAGCGAGCTCAAAGACAGTCTGTTGAATGCGGAATCAAACCTTGTTACTGGTTTGTCATCCTCTGACGGCCTCAGTGAAAGCATGGGGTTTGAAAGGTCGCACCCTGCAAACGGGCTAAGCGAGGTGGTAGGTGCCGTGATCACTGCATCCTTCTCTTCCTCCTTTTCCTCTTCCTCCTTAATTTCCTGTCGCAGGAAATTAACGATATCCTTCATCGCTGGACGCTGAGCCACGTCTTCCGACAACATCTTCTGAAAAAACACCTTTTCCGCAGGGTACTTATCCACAAACTCCCTTGAAAACACACCGTGACGTGCCTCCCCCAGTGTGTGGTACCGTTCATGCTGCGTGGTAAACATACAGTAAAACTCAAGCGCAATCAAACCCAGCGAGTAAATATCGCTTGCCTCGGTTGCAGTCTCTCCACGTTTCTGCTCAGGGCTGCAGTAAAGAGGCGTACAAGCATGAGCTGACTGCTCCTCTGCACTTATACAGGAGTTAGACGTAACCTCACCTGCGCCGTCGCATATCTTACGCAAGCGTGTACGATTTTTTTTCGAAAGGCCAAAATCCCCAATTTTCATGATCCCAGAGTCCGACATAAAAATATTTCTTGGCTTGAGGTCGCAGTGAACCACATACTGCATGTGCAAGTACTGCAGTCCCTCCGCAATTTGGAGAAGGTGCGTTAGGTTACTTAAACGAGTGAAGCTTGCTCTCTCAACAAAATGGTCAGCCAGAGTGCCGCGCTCAAACCACTCTGTCTGAATAAATAACACGGTATAACATTTATCGCTAGAAGCAGATTCCATGAGGTTGCCGTCAAGGGTGTCAAAAGTTTCCGAAGAGAGGTTGTCCATGGTGTCATCGCGATGAAGTAGACCAAGTTTCTTGGCAAAGTTCTGTGGCAAGCATTCAACCCAGGCATTGAAAAAACGCACGACATTAACAGAATCAAAGGTACTATGCAGCACAGCTTCCTGTATATAAATTTCGTTGTCTTCTGGTATAAGAATTGCCTTAACTGCATATGAAACTCCAGTCACTTGGTGCTTCACACGGAAAACACTTCCTTCCGCTCCAGACCCAATTTTTTCAGCTGTTTGAAACTGCAGCTTAAAAAGCTGCGGTAAAACTTGTGCATTTGAGGGAATAAACGACTCACTGCTTGGTTTGTCGCTCAGTGAAACATCATCATCTACTGAGTGTTTCCACCATGAATCCACACGAGGCATTGAATTGGTTCCTATCATGCTTGTTTTACATGATGGATGCATCTCATTATCCTGTAATAGAGTCATAGGAGTGGAACTCTGCCGGAGTTCAGGTGTGCAAGATAGTCCCAATTTCCCACGTGCGTCATCCACGCATGCTCCACTGCGTTCCAGCGTAAAGCTGCGATGCAAAAGGTTGGACTTTAACAAACCGGGCACGGGGGATTTACCGACGCGATCCACAAAAACTTCCTGTCCAACTCCTGTATGCCTCATGTACCACCGGATGACCACAGAAAAGAAAGCTGCGGAGAAGGAAATAAAACCGCAAATAGAATTAAACACTACGAACAGTGTACTTCCTGTACTTGTGTGAGACAACGGAAACCAAGGCACAAGCGCAAGCTGCGATGACGTTTTAGAATTGCTGTCATTGGGAAGACTATTTGGCAAATTCCCAGCAGAGGCATCACACCCACGAATCCAAGAGCACTGCTGATATGAATTTTGAAGCTCACGAAGTTCAAACTCATCGGCAACAATGTCAAATTCCCAGGTACTGGGAGATCGATGCAAGTTAAAGGAAACAATATTCCGTCGTGGCTCCTTTTTGATAATAGCTGGGAGATAAGGCAAGTCCGTTCTCCCCATAGTCAATAGTTCAACTACATCCTTGATACGAGTTGTTGCCTCAAACCGGTAAATGGGAAGAGGCAGCACCCCGCCCCCGTCTGATATCCAAACAAACGCAGACATAACAGTACTAAGTGAATTCACAACGGAAGGCCAAACAGCCGCATCTTTCAATTTACTCCAAAGTATGTATTTGTCCCGGTCAATCTCTCGAATCATCAACTGTTTGGCGAGGTTTTCTTTATGGAACTTCTCATCCAAAGCCGCTGGTTCCATACTTCCTTTTCCCGCCTTGTTGACATCGTTTGTAAAAGGCACATGATCTTTGCCACCACAGTCACCTGTTTGAAGCAGCCCTTGGAGGGCACGAGATACAAACTTTGGATCATCGTCCGCCGAATCTTCTTCAGAAACGCGCAAAGAAGTCTTTTCAGAGACCTTATACTGAGCTATACTCATCTTCCAACTGTAGTGACCAGGACGCCGCACATTAAGAGTAAAGTCGTACCGCACAACATGCATGTAAGAAAGTAAAAAAAATGGTTCCGGCACTGGTTTACCGTCGTAGCCATCCACATCGATAATCTGCGCTGATGTAGTCACAAATATATCTGTATCTCCCACCAGTACGTGTTTCTTTTTAATTAGTGTCGAAAGATTCATAAAACAACGAGGATGCATCTGTGAAAAAGGAGTTCCACCTCTACCTTTTGTGCTGTCTCTAACCTCCCCTTCGTTTGGCCCTGCTTCCACTTCGGTGTCACTGCAGGCACAACACTTATCTGACGTATGCCTCCAACACTGACATGGTGCAAAACAACGCCTCGTAAACAGCACACCCCCCTCCAGTATAAAAGGCAATGCAAAGGGGTCTTGACTAATCACTGGCTCCCTCGCATGCTGTTGAATTTCCACACGCAGCATGTCTCCACCTGTGTCCACAGTCCACAATGGTTTTCCATCATCGAGCCCATAAGATGAAATTTTACCATCCTTTTGCAATAACAGTAGCATGTTTGGGTGAGGTGGCCGGTAAGACCGCACCAGTTCTTGAAAGTCCGGGCCGGCGTCAGGAATAACAGTGCCTACTGTCTCCGTCTCCACGCGTTGTAGTAAATTCACATCTTGCGGAACCAACTGGGCTGCAGACACAGACAGGAGCCTAGTGTCACCCACATCTAACGACAACCCAAGGACCAGTATGCAGAGAAGTAGAAGCCTAATGCGACGGTAGGCATTCAACATTTAAGAAAATGCCAGAGGTGAGGTACGTGCTTCAACGAAATTCCCGCAAAAAAGAAAAAAAAGGGAAGGGGAGGGGGAGGTGAGGAGGGACTTCACAAGCCTGCAGTGTGACTGCCCAACCACGGAACCGCCACGAGTAGACGTTGTCACTGAGAGAAGAAAGCAACAACGAACGCCGAATGAAAATAAAAACAAGACCAAATAAGTCCAAAACTACCAGTTTGCCCAAAATGCAGCTAGGAAAGAGAGCAACGCAATCCACTTGGGCCACCCCACGCCCTCCTTCTTCTCTGATCTAGGCGAATGATGTTGCGCTGGGGCCTCAATATGCTAAATACGGCACTTGAAACCTCCTTTGCTTCTACTTACTGTGCAACTTCTCGGTGTGTGGAATGACAAAAGATTTTCCTTTCCGTAGTGTGTGTGTGTGTGTGAACAACACTCGCACAGTAAAAGAAATGACACGGAGAGAACTGACAACTGACGAAAAAAAAAAAAAGGGGGGGGGGGNGGAAAATAAATACAGACCGTCACCTGCAACTAAGAGCCAGGAGAGTAGCAAAAACACCAAAACAATAATAATCAGTTTCACCTAAAAAAAAAAAAAAAATGGAGGATGTGTGTGTGTGTGTGTGTGTGTGGCTGCAACAAACGGGCTGTAAAAACGGATAACAGCAGAAACTAGAGACAAAAAAAAAAAAGGCAATCTTCTCAACTGCAGCGTGCCACCGTCGCCCAGACACCACCACCGTCACCCTCCTCTTTGCCCAGCAACAGCCGAAGCAACGCGACACCCACATCTCGTGCTTCTTCTCGTTCCGATTGGAACACCATCTGCTCCCTAAGTTCGCCCAGTGTTTTCGGCACACTAATAACGGCATTCAACACACTCCGCTGAAAATCAACCCGCATGGACTGAAGTGCGCTCATTTCCTTCGCATCCGCAAAGGAGAACCGCGTCGTCAGGATGTGCCTTGCCGGTGGCAACTGAATGGCCACAGGAGTATCAAGAACCTGAGAACTCCACCAATCTTCAGGTAAAAACTAAACTCTTCTGAGCCCAGAACCGTCTCTACACGACTACGTCTCACGGTGGTATCAACCGTCACGACACGTCTCTTCTCCCTGTAGTACCTCAAAAGTGCATCTTTGGCCAAGCCCTGCAAAGTCCGCACAGCAGCAGCGTCGTAATTATACAAGGAGGTTAATGCTTCAATGTATAGCAAGGACCCAAGTACCCGCGCGGCATCATCCTCTTCGTACGTTGAAAAGTCACCAATGACATTCAACGCGTCTGTGCAGCGTCCTGAAAAGCGTTGGCACGCCTGGGAAATAAACAGGTCCATGTTTGCACTGTTCAAAATATTACTCTTGGCATCCCAAAGCCGCTCCACATCCTTATTGAAGTTAAAGGGTTCTACGTAGTCTTTCATGACGGCGTTCGCATCCAAATCTTTTACCTGACGCTTAAGGAACTCTAACTCACGCAACTTCGTCTTGACAGACATACTATCGAGCACGCGTATCTCGGACTTCACGCGCTCCACCAGCTCATCGATGGTTTCCTCCTCGTTCGTATCCTTTACTTCTTGCGTGCTGTCTAATGACGTCCCCCCCGTCACCAGACGATCTCGCCGTGCCGACGGCGTCTTTGTGCAAGCATCCTCTTCAGTTTTAGCATTGGCGGCGAAGCGCAAAACGTTTCCAGCGATTGAAGAGGCAGATCCCCTACCTGGGGAAGCATCAACGTTTCGCATTTCTGACTTTCCACCCCGTGTGGGGTGCTTGTCAGGTCGAGCAGGTACCGCCTTACTTCGCGCAGTCCTCGAACGACTCAACACGTCACGAACGGCGTGCAGGCGTCGCTGCTCCTCCAGCAGTCCGGCCAGCTGCCCTTCAAGGGCATCCAGCTGCTCCGCATCCGCGGCAATCCGAAACACGACGGAGTGAATGTCATCCAAGAGACATCCTACAGCGTCAGCGTGGACGGTGGATGAAAGTGCCGCAAAACACAGCATCTCAAACGCCTCGCTCATCACACCTGCTGCTTCCCCCACCCCGCCCCACCCACAGACTCGCTACACAACAAGGAAAAACCCAGGCACACACAAAACAACAACAAAAAAAACAACGCAACTTCAGCAATTGTGTTGCATAACTAAACAGAGCAAGAGGGAGGCAACGCTCAAACTCAAAGTGAGACATTCTCACACCTTCTATTCAAGCATGCAGGGCATTATTCGCAGCTTAACACCACTGCAGGCAGAGAAGGTAACAGACAGCAACGACAAGGAGAGCAACAAAAAAAAAAATCAACAACAACAACGCAAACGATAACAAGAAGAACAAACAGCAAAACAATAACAACAACAATAGTGGTCTATCGTTTCCCGTGCATGTATCCAGCAAACCGTTTATCAAACTGACACTTTTTCCAACCTTCATGCTGCATCACTGTCTCCACGGCAAGTGTATGAATCGGTGCATCGCCCCAGCGATAGCGCATTATCCCACGTGGCTCCTCCGTGTCCAAGAATTGAAACAAGGAATGATACAGCTGATGACGTTTTAATTTCATCGCTCCAAGCTCAAAATTGTTGTAATACATAACTCCTTCATATTTTTTGGTACTTGCATTTAAAGCAAATCCTGTTAACCCTGCTAACTCTGCAGGAGAGAGAGCCGCTTTGGCCCACTTCAGAAATGTTGGCCAAAGCTCCCACACAACACGTGGATTTTCACCCCGAATGCTTCTATAGCCATAGACGCAGTGGTTTACCTGCATCAACTTAAATACGTCACATGGAACATGTGACGTTAGGTAAGAATCCGTATCCAGCCTCCAATAATACTCGTAGACATCCAAGGAAGGCAGTCGCCACACAAGTCCTGCCCAAAAGCGGCACATGATGCGATATCCTCGTCCTTGATATCTTCGCTGTGGTGGCGTTCGCATCCACGCGGCAAGCTGCTTTTCCGTCACACCATCAGGTAACTCACGCCAGAACCTTCCCACGTCCTCAAAGCTCACCCGACAAGCCGAAGGTATCGCGTCCCGTATCGCCGTTTGCCACTGTTCAGGCATGTCTTCATGGAAAATGTGCACTGGATACGAGAAGTATACCAGAAAGTGCGCCTCCAGCAGGGGAAGTGTCCTTGACAAGAAAAAAGGCTCGTTCTTTCCTGCAAGAAACAATATAACTCCATTCACTTTGGAGTCTGTGTTGCTGTTCTTGCGGAGGGCGGATGTGCACGTCGCAGCGACATTACGTGACACCTGTGATGGTGTTGCCGCAGTACTAGAAGAAACTCGTGAAGATGCACTGGTCCTGTCCTCGTCATGACTTTCCATCGCTGAAAGAAGAATCCACGTCCCAAGGCAGACGACTTCTACTGCAAAAATCCACATCACTACGCATTTCAACCCGAGTACGTTGTGTCTCATCCACCTCATGCATCCCCACCCTACATGCAATTAATTTTGTGAAATAAATAAATAAAGGGAGGAAAAGAAAGAAAGAAAAAAAACTAGTCCATCCGTCCCTTCTTCCTCTTCCCCCGCAGACACACACGCGGACGTGCAGCACAACGGATGCTTGCAACAGATACAATATCAGTATGATATCTGTGTCCCCAGCAATAATCAGCATCAACGCATTGAACAAATGTAAATACTATACGTAGCAACGTTGAACACACGCACTCCCAAACACCCTCAAAGAGGGCAAAAAACAAACCAAGAAGTGGATAATTAAATATACTCATTTATATTGGTAAAGTAAAGGTGCAACGCATCGTTCTTCCAAACTTCTCTAGAGCATTGCAAAAGAGAGAGTAAAATTCACGAATTTTGCTTCCCTTTCCTCATGCGTGCGCAAAAGAGAATACTGTGTGCCCAACCACAGTAATCACCAAAAAGCTCCTTAAACCCCAACTGAATGGCATCATGATGTTTAGACGAAAGCGCCGGCATCTTCATGTCATGTTCTTTCCCTTTCCTATACCAATCTGCCAAGACTATTTTCCAATCTAGTCCCTTGACTGATACTCCTGCCGATAAGGATTCCCCTCCACGATCTCGTTTTCGGTCCCGCCCAATTACGTCGGAATAGTACTTTTTCCCACACACTTCCGCCTTAGCAAAGTACTCTGTCGCAACTTGTGCCATGTGCGTATCAACAGGCACAAGCTCGTGATGACCCAGAGCGAATAAAAGGACACAATCAGCTACTTTGCGTCCCACACCAGGAAGTGACAAAAGTTTTTCCCGCTGCTCAGACAAACTGAGACTCGCGTTCAAAAACTCGTCATACCACTTGTAAGAGTACATGACAGAGACAGGTCCAGTTCCTCCTTTCCCTCTTTTTTGTTTGCTTGTACCACTGGCCTGAATGATGGAAGCACACTTAATAATATACTTCCCACGGTACCCAAAACCAAGCGCACGCAATTCATCTTCAGACCTGCTGGCTAATTGATCCATGCTAGGCATAGAGTGTAAAGTTATCCAATCCTCGTCTCCTTTAGTAGCCTTGTTGACATTTTTTTTACTCTTCTTAGGGCTATGGTACGAAGAGCTCACGTTTCGAACATCGCCCGTTACAGGGTTGTACTCACATAAGCAATCTCCGTAGCAGGTGGCCAGTTTCTCCACAAGTCCCGTGATGCGCTGCACGTTATTATTCTGTGAGCAGAGAAACGCTAGCAGCGTTTCATGAAGATCCTGCCGCAAATGACGAATGTTGACGGGATGTTTTTCGCCCCTGTTCAAAGTGAGGTAGCGTACCAGAGGATGGTCGTGCCTCGGATTTTCCAGTGTCCAGCGTCGCCATAACTGTTGCAGGTCCACATCTAAAGCCAGATAATGACATAAAAAACGGGCTTCTGCGGACACCTCCAATGCTGTCTTTAGCTCACGATGAAGGCAGCGAAACCACAAAGCATCCCCATGGGACTCAGAAAAGGACGAAAAAGAAGAACGTAACCCTTGTTTTGCCTCCTCTTTCTGCTGAAATGCTGGTAACTCGGACGAATAAGGGGCGTCAGAGAGCTCGTACACGCCCCGTTCCACCACGCCAACCCAAGTGCCCCGCGGTGTGCGACGCCAACGGAAGCACTGCCCTCCGCAGAGTGTCATTGGCAAGTGCACCCCTGCCGTGGATGGCAGCGCATGCCACGCGTGCACCATGACCTGAATAAGATAATAGTATTTAAAGAAGAGTAAAATAATAATAATAATAATGACAACAGTGTTTCTCCTCAATTACCCTCCCCCTCCCGTTTTTCTTGTTTTTTTTTTCTGTATTTTAAGAGAAGCAGAAGTTTGGGTAGTAGACATCTCGTTATGGGCAACAAACACACCGCGTTACAAGTCCGCACCAAGATGCGCCAAGCAGACACTTTTGAGGAGGATTCGGCCCTCCTCAATGAATGTTCCCTACCCTTTCCCTCTAGGAAAAAAAAACAAAAACAAAAAAAAACACACAGTTTCTTAACAAATCAGAGGAACTTCGGGCACTCAATTCGCCTGCAAAGCCCCACAAACTTGTTCCGCAAGGGCGCGGGTTTTGGCGTCAGGATGCATCAACGCCACCGACCCCAAGACTGCAAGAGCCTCTCCTAACGGTGCCTCATTCATGTGAGATTCTGTCATAAAGATATCGGGTGCCGCACCCAAGAGTGCCGATAGCAACTTCACACCCTCAGACTGAACCTGTGGAAGTCCGGCGTATCTTGCACTACCCACCGCAAAGGTAAGGATCGCCTTTCGATCGGTAGCATCAAGGAGCATTAATGCGTTTTTCGAGGGAGTTGTGTGCCCCTGCGTTATTTCGTCGCCAGAGCACTTTGAACGTGTGCCAGTGGTGGCCATTACAGCCAGAAAAAGAACGTGACAACTTTCGGCAACCACCTGCGCAATGTCCTTCCTAGCAAGACGTAGTACTGTACTACAGACCGCGTTGGCGAGTTCAATTAAATGCGGCATATATTGTTTAAAATACAAGCCAACCAACGTCCTCCCTAAAGAATGTGCTCGCAACAGACTGAGAGCACGCTGATGAATGTGAATGGCCAACTCAAAGCGTCCAAGCAGGTGAGGAGAGAGATCCCATTCCACGGTGGAATCGGCGACGTTGCGACTCTCCTTCGAACGCATCACCTGCTCACGACACTGAGCTGCCAACTGAGTCAGTGGAAGCATAACAAACGGGAGCACGACATCGTTAAATACCGAGCGATTTAACCCAACAACTGTAACAATTGCCAAACACTCCACCGCGGATCGGCTTAAGCGCTGAGAAGCTACAGTGCAGGGACCATCAGGGACTTTTGCGTCATCTTCATCCAAAAGCCACGGCAACACCACCTTTTCAGCCCAACGCCCAACCATCTGGGCAGCACCCACCAGCTCAGCTAATTCCATTTCTTCCGTTTCCAGGGAGGCAAAAGCCTCCGACGCTTTTTCCTCTTTCGGTCCACGTTCCTTAGCCACCGTATTAGACCTCATCTCTTCTGAATGAAATGAGGACGGGTTCTGAAGCAAGAAAAAACCCACGCAAAAGAACCCCACACGATACACAAAGCACACCTCCTCACGAGAATCAGGTAACAAAAAACCATCTCTCATGTATCCTGACTCTAGATCACGTAGCCGCTCCAGCAGAACGGAGACGTTGTATTTGCACAACACCTCGAGTAGTAGGCGCTGACCATCCAGTGACAGCTTTTCGCAAGATGTTGCAGTGAGAAGAATGCTCCACAAAAATTCCCACATCTCCGCAATAGGCGGAAACATCTCACTTACCGCGGTAAATGATGCAAAATTTTGCTTTGGACAGCCGCGAAGAAACAGCAATGGCGCTATTATTTGATAACTTGCCATATTGGAATCAGGTGCCGTTGAAGGACTTGCAACATTTTCTAACCAGGGCCTTGACTGGTGTTCGCCTTCTTCTTCGGTCGACTTCATGATATGAAGGCACCCCAACGAGAGTGCAACTAAACCATCCTTTCGCGCACCACATACAGACGCTATTTGGGTCATTATACGAATTACAAGTTCTTGCTCCAATGGAGCACGCGCCTCCATAGCACGCTTCAGCAATGACAGAACACATGCCTCCGTCCACTTTAGTACACCCTCCGCCCAGTGACGTCCCAACAACACCACAACCTGTACAAGTCGTTTGTTAACAGTCCCCTCTTCCGCCGTGGAGGAACTGGTTTCATGTTGACTTTCAACGGTGTCCTGTAATGTGCCAGAATGCAATGTTGCAAACGCCACAATATCAGCTGGTGTGGAAGGAGTAGCACAGATCGCTGGCACACTTTCCCCCAATAAAGCCAATGACTCTTGTATCAGTAGCAGCACAATACTTTCGTCTCCGCTGTGGGCTTCAACAACAGAGCGTAAGGCTTGCTGTGCGGCCGATTGTCTTTTAATGGACCTGTCACGTTGTGTCGCCAGCTTTAGCAAGGAACGACAAACATCCTCTGGCCATACTTTGGCGAATAGCTTTGAACTTTGCAGTCTAATCTGCAATTCCTCGTCCTGGATGCGTAATAGCAGTTCCTCCGACAAAAGCCTCCATACCGGCCGCATCTGTGCTGACGTAAAAGCCTCCCCATAAACAGAGTCCTCGGAGGCCTGAGGAAGGGCGGCAAGGACATCTAAAACATTATGCCGCGTCTTTATGTCACCATGCTGCAACAAACGAAAAAGTGCGGGCAGAATTGAATGAGGTCGTTCAACAGCCGCATGGATCAATAGACCGACGACACATTGCGATGCCCCATCACGATCATCCGATAGAAGTTCCAAAAGTTGATCAGAAGAATCAGCAATGACGCGAAAGGAGGAACTGTTGGATGAGCTATATAATATTAACCGTGATAGGAGTGCACTCAACTTTTGCACATTCTCATCCCTGTAGCGAAGCCCCCGCTGAATAAGCGCATTATGAATCTGTTGAGTTAAGCTTAAATCCGTTAACCAGAGTGCAGCCTGCATCGATGGAGCAGGGGCCGCCGATACAGCAGCAAGCGCCCCTGAAAGAAGCATTGTGGTGGCAAGAAACACGTTATTTTCTTGTTCTTCTCCCTCCAACGCCGGCACGGATGACACAAAAGAAGCAATAAGAGCCACTATTTGTGCGTCGGTATGTTGCACCTCCACACTACCGACGCTGCTGTGGATGTATGTCCATACATTTGATACGCTCCGACACATAAAAAGAAGTCTTAGTGTGTTTGTCCACATTATTTCACTTGTGGCATGATAGTCCTTTGAGTGTTGCCCAAACTGCCGTTCAGCAGATCGCTGAGAGCACCCAAATGTTTCTTGTTTATAAATCAGCTGGGTGAATACATCATCTAAAGCACGTTTTACCACCGCAACTGCCTCAATAGCAGCCTGAGTCTCCTTTGGGGCGTCCACATTGCTTACAGAGTTCCTGTACGAAGCAACTTCATTTTGTATCCAGTCCAACGCACGAAGCAAAGCCCTTCTTAAAATGGATACCACGGTCCAGATGCGAGAAGGGGCATCGCGATCCAACACCATACGGCGACTAGACATTGTCTGTCTCTCATTCTCATGAACTTCCAAGACATCCAGCGCAAGGTCATGAAATAAGTGTAGCAGTGCATTGTTCGCCTCTACTGTCAGACGGGAAGGTGCGCGTATCACGCTGCGCGCCATCTTAGGTGCTTCGTCATCAGCTAAAGGGGCTACAGGAAGAGGTTCCGTCAGCACAATGTCATCCTTCATGTCGGCCATCGTTGCCACGTAGGGCACCACGTCATCCAGCAATCGTTGGGTAAATTCCACAAAATGGCTGTAAAGTCGCTTGCCCTTGACACAACCGTGTGCTACGGCGCGAACGGTGCCAGAGAGGATAAGCAGATAGCCCAACGCTAGACGACGGTGAACACCCAGATGTTTGTGAAGAAATGAACTTCGAACACCCAGGGAACAAAGAGCCTCCACCCAAGCTGCTGTGCAGCTTGGCCGTTCATTCCCCTCACCAAACGCTGTCGCTTCGTCGCACAATAATCGGGTGGATACGTACACCAGTGTTTGCAGACTCGCCTGTGAGGCTAACGCGCATGCGCACATACGACACAATACGGTTTCACTCCCAGTTGCACTAGTACCTGTTGGGGTTATGATTGTCGTGTCTGGCGCCAAGGATGAGGGTGATGTCTCATGAAACGTGGAAGGTCCTTGCGAGGGGTGCGGAGTAGCGACGGAGAGAGAAGCCCGGTTTACGGCGTATGCCAAGCTACGGAAGGCCTGAGAGAGATGGTAATCATGTAACTGTTCGTCACTGCAGACCCTGGCGCGCAACAATCGTTGGAGCGCCGTCTCATACGGCTGCACATCCAGTAACTGCATGGGCCACCTCGGGGGTGATGGAACTATGGCCCAACTTCAAAGAAAAAGCAAAAAATAAATAAATAAACCCACCTTTGCATCACAAAGAGAATAACATCAGCGAAGAGAGATATATATAAATGGCTTTGCTTGAACGATATGGCAATAGATTGAGGTTCAAAGATGAAAGACACTGATGAATTGACAGATACATGCACCGGCACACTTGTCCCTTTACAAACTTTTTTTCTTTCCTTCTTTTCTTCACTGCTTTCTCAGATGCACATACATATTATAACGAACAAATAGTCTCTTCCAGTTCGTCATTAGTGTCCTGCACTGCAGGCAACTCCAGATCGAGGAAAAAAAAAAGAACAGATAATAAACACATACACTTGAGCACTTCTTCCCATCCTTCAACTGAGGCACAGACAGCACAATGGGGTGGCAGTACCCCCCGTCCCAAATTCATCAGTGGAAAAAAAATATAATAATTAATAATAAATAATAATAAATAAGCAGATACACAAAGGCATAAAAATAAAAAAACATGACAAAATAAGCCCCATGAATATATATATATATATATATATATATATATATATATATAA